CACATACTCTGCATTCAAAGAAATCTGCTCACTTTCCCCTTTTGTAAACAGGCCACTGTGTGGCATGAAAGGAAGCCAGCCAAAGCAATCAGCCACATTGCCCAGACTTGAGCTGCCATTGCCCCAATCACCGACGGTCGAATCTTCACAATCACAAACGGGGCACTCTTGAACAAAAAATGTGAAAAATACACGCACAAATAAGCTTGCCACAGAGACACACATGGGTAAATGATTCTAATTCGACAATGCCCTCATCCAGTCCTGTTTTTTCTGCCTTGACTAATGTCTTCTTTTCTTCCTTCAGTACAGCCTGTGCAAAACACGAAATACTTTGATTGTGTTGATCTTTCAATGTCTCTCATGAAAAAAACAACATCTTGTGTGACTGTTAGTGCCTGACGGACAGCTCCCAACTTCTTGGATAAGCGGGAAGTCCATACCCATTGATTCCTGGGTGGCATGAGATTGTACGGTAGTGCTCTGGTGAAATGTTTATGAAGTGCATTTCTTTGGAAACACTGAATCAACTAGCCACTGGAAGGTTGACACTCCATTTCATAAACCTGTATGAACCTATGACACAACCTTAATATATGACAATAACTATTTATGAAATGCATTTCTTTGGAAACACAATGAATATACTAGCCACTGGAAGGTTGAAACTCCATTTCACAAACCGTAATACACCTGTAAGAACCTATCAACCTGTCAATATAAATCAAAATCAAATAGGAATGGATAGAATAGGTATCAACAGGACTCAAGAGGATTCAAGAGGTAAACTTGAGGAATCGTGGAAAACCATCCTCAAAGATCCTCAAAGGTGCTCTTCAAATTTTCCAAGTTGCACTTCAGTGTCAAAGTAGCATTCGTGGTTTGACACTGACCCACCTGCACGAGGTTGAGTACATCGAGCACCTCAGAAAAAAGTTTACAGCCAGCGGTGGTCCTTTTGCTGGCTTCCCAAAACATCCCAAAACAGAAAATATATGATTAATCATTTTTCAAATGATTTCATATTATTTCTCCACTCACCAGTCCATTCCACTCCTACCCCGACAACAACAGAATACATCTGCAACACAATATACATCTGCCAAAGTCGGCCAAGCTACGCCAAAGCTGACGTATTTCATCCCAAGTGAAGTCTCCCACTGGGGCTGCACACAACCCAATTCCACAATCTTTTGGCGCCCCACCAGGTATTGGGGGTGGCGGCGGCATTTCCACCACTGCCTGCCTAAATCGGCTGGCCTAGATAGACAAAGACAGAATGTATGTGATTTGTCTCTGTCAATGACGGCTTTTGCTATTTTTTAATTTTTTTGTTACTTTCTATGGATGTCACTTCTATTTTTGATTACGTGTCTTTGTTTGTGAGGTCCTGTTGTGTTCGGCAATCTTCGGGATGCTTGAGCCATCATTGAAAGAAGCCATTTTTTATAAAATGGCTTAGCCACACCTGCACATCCAACAAAGAGCTTGCATTAAACTCTACAGGCAGTGTTTATGAATTGACTTATCCGCAGTCCACATGGATGCGTGTCTATGCTCATACTGTGGGTGTGCCTCCACACCTGCGTGTTTTATAAAATGACTGGCCAACCTAGGCATCTGACTAAGATCCACTATGCCGGAGTGCTACCCTTTATGAAGTGGGACCCCGGTAACCCATTCTATAGAGGAACAGGATCCCCATTTCATAAAGGATAAGGTAAGGGGGATGTTTCTACTTGCTTCTTGTTACTTCTAGTAAGGCCCTTGCTCCTAGTAGTAAGGCCAGGCGTCGTGGCCCTTCTGCGCGGCCACGTGTAACGCGGTGCACCCCGTGTCCGTGGCCCGGCGAAGGTCCGCCCGCCGCTGCAGCAGGAGCTCGGCCACGTCGAAGCGACCCTCCTGAGCTGCCGCGTGGAGCGGCGTAGCACCTCGGGTAGTGGGAAAAGGGGAAAAGCTTCACAAGGAAGCGTTCCTTGCTAATGGCCTCCAACCTAGCGATCGCCTCCACCGTAGCGTCCTTACTAGAAAAGGAAGACACAACGCCTCCATCCGCTTCGTCTACTTCGGCCGCGGTGCCCCGGTTGGGCGTCGTTTGATTCAGATCGGCGGCCACGCTGAGGAGAAGTCGGACCATGTCCAAGTGCCCAGCATGAGCAGCGATGTGCAAAGGCGTCACCTGTTGTTCGGCTTTCTTCGTCACCAAAGGTGGCAAAGTTCAGTTTCGTGGCCAAAACACAGTTCAACAGTTCAGTTCAAGTCTCGTTGCAGTTGGACTTTCTTCGTTCCAGGCACAAACCATCGCGACTCGAGTCCGGAGCGATCGGACGCTACGAGGGCCGGGGCTCCAGACGTTCGACCGCTTCGGGGCCCAACCCCGGGTACAACCCCCCTGAATTGAGGGTCCAAGGATGTCCAAGGGTTCTTAGGGCAGTTCAGTTGAGAAGTGATCTTAATCAAAGAAAGCATCTAAGCATCTGAGCCTATGAAGAAGTGGGGCATTTGTGTGCATCGTAGAAACGTCTCACATGGACAAAAGTGACAACAAAAAGTCTCCACAAAGTCCTCCTTGCGCCAGTTCCAGGCCACTGAAGATGTGAGGTCCTCATTGGGCTCTTGCAGAAGCACCTTCGCCACCTCCACGTGACCCTCATGCGCTGCCACATGTAACGGTGAGAGGCCGTCGGGGGTCAACACATATGCCGCACCCACCGAAAGCAACAGCCGTACCACTTCCAAATGACCCACGTTGGCAGCGGAATGCAACGGCGTCTGGCCTCAAATTCAACCATTCGGACCATTCTCATTCTGTGGTCTGCGGGCAAGAAACTTTAGGTTCTGAGTTCGTACGCACAAGAGACAAACTGTCAAACATATATGAAACCACTGGGAAACGACAAAACAGGTTCCTGGTGGTTGACCCCTTGCTGGCTCCGGCTCCTTGAAGAAACTCACACAAAAAGGATCAAAAAGGGATGAATCTGACAGTGCAAAGTCCGTGGCCATTGCTCAACGTCGTGTCTTTGTTGGCGCCAGCAGCTAGTAACATTTGAATCACCTCCAGTGAGCCACGATGACATGCCAAGTGCAAAGGGGTGAAACCTGGCGGGGTGGACACGACAGCTGTGAAAGAACTGGCGAATTGCTACGCAAAGCAACTGGAGGAGTCCTCCTTTGAAAACAAGGAGAGGCCATCGCTATTAGGTTGGCCTCTCTTCTCTCTCTTTCTATTTCTTTCTCTCTCTCTCTCTCTCTCTCTCTTAGGTTGGAGGCCATCGCTACTAGTTAAGTTTCCCCCAAAATCTAGGAACTAAATCATTAGTGCGAGGGCTTCTTCAAGGAAGCTAGGGCGGCGGCGGGAGCTTCCTTGAAGAAGCGCGAGCTATCCTGCGTCCTACCTAGGAGCGTCCTGTACCTACTAGCTACCTCTCCACTTACTTAATTAAGTAGGTAGTCTCTACTTAATTAAGTCGGGAGGAGAGGGAGCTGGCAAAAACAACAGAAAGAACGTCACCCAGCTCTGGATGCCTTCATCAAAGGTGGCCTTGTCTTTGTCTGCACCAGCCTCGGAGATTGAAGCTGGCACAATGATCGTTTAGATCTACCGCTGATCTAAGAGCGAGACCTGGTGCAACAGCCTTTAGATCAACGAAAGAAACCTCTGAGTTCCCAAAACTACGAACTCTCTCCGGGTTCCCTTCCACCACCACGAGCAGTTCCGACCACAGACCAAACCCCCCCCTAAAACCGTTGGCTTCGTCCGATCACCCCCACCTGCAAGAGGCTTCGCACCACCTCCGCGTGGCCCTGCAGAGACGCCACGTGCAGCGGCGTGGCGCCCTCGCGCGTCGACGTGTCCTTTTCGACGCCGAACTTCAGCAGGGTCTCCACCACCTGCGACCGTGACATGGTGACAAGGTGAGGGGAGGGGTTGGTTACAGACATGAGGCGAGGCCATCTATCTATCTATCGACAAAGATCGTGCATCAAACTCTGAATCTTCCTCATCCAGAACGACCAAATACGTGGGAAAGCTCCAAGAAGTGGCTTGATGGTTCGCTTCTCAACACGAGACTGACGTCTCCAAGGCTCGAAGCCTCCACATGTCCATTGCGAGTGGCCAAATGCAAGGGTGTGTAATCGTCAAGTGCAGCATCCTTGTCTGCCCTGGCTTCCAGCAAGAGCCGCAGGCATGAAACATGTCCCTCCTCTGCTGCGAGATGCAGTGCTCCTCTTCCATTGGCCAAGGCGACCGTGTTGGGATTTTGAGGTAACTGGAGCATCTCTTCGACCGCCTCCTCAGTGGACACGAAGCGTGCCACGAACAACAGTTCATGCAAAAGAACACAGTGGACCCCACGAACCCAGTAGCCGAAGCAACAAGAAACAAACGAAGAAACCGAATCGGAAGTAGCAAAAGAACACAGGGAAGCTACTTAGAGACGACAATACCGAATCCTTCTGAGTTGAGAGGTGTTTGTTGGTCTTTTCTGAGGCTCTGCTCGATTCTCAGCACAGGCTGCCAAGAACTCCTGGTCGCGTTCTCTCTCGGGAGGCAGAAAGTCCAAGAGCACCAGTTGCAGCCGCACCGTGGGAGGGCCCTCCGCCGCGTCGCGGAGCGCGTCCGGTTGCAGCAGCGGAGCCGCGTCGCTTCGGAGGCCCTCATGGTCCAAGAGACGCTGCCTGGAGGAAGGAGGAGTGGAGCCATATGAGCTCATCCAACAGGGCTTGGATCGTCTACAGGTTTTTGAAGGATGTTGATGATGTACAAAACTAAGAGGAACTGAAGGATTCTTTGTATCCAAACTGAAGGATCGCAGTGGACGGCCTGAATCTGGGATATCCAAGGCGAGTGGTCAAACATCTCTTCAACATTTTCCTCGGTCGGATGGTTGCACATGTGAACATAGCAACCGAATGTCCGGAACATGTCTGATACAGTTTGAAACTCAGGGTTTTATCACAAGAAAGCAAACACAATGACATGACCAACACGACTTGAGGCTTCAAACGGAACGTCGCATGTTAGGTCTTGGATGGATGGCCTCAAGGCCCCCAGATTGATCTTGTGCTTTAGCTACTCATCCCTTCACGAAATCGCGGAACTGTGCAAATCGCAAAGCAACGGTTTCAGTCAACAAGGACCTGTTCCTTCTTTCGTCCTTTAAGGCACCTTTAAAGACCTTAGGCACCTAGACGTCCAACCACTCCGTCAAATGGGCTTTAGCGAACCAGAAGGATTTGACACCCTTTTCTTAAACAACCCGTTCAAGCCTTTGACTTCCACCGGCGAACCAACGGAACGGTTGAACGACGGCGACGTCGCCGAGTCTCACATCCTTGGGCGAGTCCTTCGACTCCAAGTCCTGGCGCTTCGACGGTCTCCGGGGAAAAGACACGAAACCAACGGCCAAAGCGATTCGTGGATGGTTCCACCCAATGTGCAAAATCATCATGAATCAATCATCATCATATTTGATTTGCATCTGTCTTTGAACCCAAGAGTTGATGATGCCAACAGTTTCACTCTGGGACTTTTCTTCTTGTACAATATTTTCTTCCGTACTTTGTTCAGAAGAGACGATGAACACCCCTGCGGCTTGGGGCCTAATGCTCTCTGAATTTAGTTCAACAACTCCAAATGACAGAAATTCTTGCAAGAATCTTTACACGTTTTTCCCCACCTCGGTCTACGCCACATGTGTTCGTCCCCTTTCGTCCCCTGTCGTCCAGCGCGATCGATCTCTCGCCTCGTTCTCCAAGTCCTCCAGCGTCAGCGCCACGAGTTCTTCCCCCGAGGCCGCCGAGCTCACCACGATCGACATCGGACGCTGCGCACCGGACGCCGCGGGGATGTCGCCAAGAGCGAAGGCTCGGTGGGGGAAGGCTTGAAGCTAAAATGGCCGAGATGCTGTGTCTGTGCAGACCTGGGTGATTTGGAGGGTTTTTGGTTCAGGGGCAGGGGGGGGGTGTATGGCAAGTATATCTGGGCTGTGATGAGAAGCGAGTTCAAGGACAATCCTTGGAAGATCTGCAGCTCTCGCCCAAGCGGGTGAGGCAACCCGCGGAGCGCCGCGGAGCGCCGTCTCTGAGTGTCCGGGCTGATGATGTCCAGGCTGGTGCGCGAGGGGTTGGCCGGTGCCACCGCTTCGGAAGTACCATAGGCCTCTCTGGGGCGGAGAAGAAGCTGCTTTGGATGAGTGCGGGATCTTGGGACGTGCCATGATGTGGGGAGGTGACAGAGGTGACTTGGTCGTCCGTGGGGAGGGCCACACGTGGCCCTCTGCTTTTCGTCTTCACAGCGTGTCTGGAAGAGAAGCTGATTCAAAGTGCAGAATCCCGGGACATGTAAGAAGCACAATTTTGGGATCCAACAAACAACACCTATAACAATAATAAGACTTGCGACTTTCATGGGGTGACGACCCCCCCAAAAAACACATCTACGCGCTTTCCCCGGGATGGCGTTGGGCAGCTCCGGCTTGGTCTTCGGTGGCCTCCCATGCTTGCTCGGCGCCGGCGGCCACCAAGATGGGATGCAAATCCGGTGGCCAAAGACCTGGACGTCAAGAAGACAAAGAAAAAAGAGGCCTCCAACCTAGCATGAGGAATTTCGGTGATGTTTTTTCATCTTCGGGCAGTGAACAGATTCCTGTCCAGAAGAATCATCTCTTTACCGCCCTGACCTGCCGGTGCCCGGCCATCGCCCAAATGGCCCGAAAAGGGGCGACGGTGCCCGTGCTCACTCCTCTCGCCTGGATATTCCGATGTGCCATATCTTCGATCCAGGAATAGAATGGCATCCTGAGATGGCGTCGGTCGGACAAAGAAAACACCACAGCTTTGGTCGCCCAAGCAGAGAACTGCGGCTTTTCGATGCTATCACATGATCCAAGCCTTCAGAGTTGACACTTCTTCGATTCCACCCCGATTCGTTTCTTCGGCTTCCCCCCCCCCCCCCCCCAAAAAAAAGAAAACCGCGCAGGTCCTGCCGCCACCCCCGGCCCTGGAAAAGCTGAGATGCAAAGGCTTCTTCCAAGATGAGAATCCCAACACCTCACGGCTCACACGACAGTCGCGTCTTCGCCAGTCCGAGTGAAGAGTCTGGCAGAGACTCAAAGACTCGGCGCTTTCGACAGCGATGCTACGTTTGGAGAAATTCTTCGCTCGTGAGACTTTTTGGTGAATGTGTAGAGACACACGCTTAGTACACTCTCGCCGTTCCGTTTCCACAAAAGCGACCTCAAAACGTGGAGTTCTCCAGCTGATTTCGATCAAACGCGTCCCCGATTTCGATCTCTCCTTGCCGCGGCAGGGGCGTTTCGGTCGTCTGACAGTCGAACCGTCGAAGCGACGGACTTCGACGGAGGCGTTCGTCCCAGATGCATGGAACGTAGTCATTGCACACTTCCTCCATGATCGCCTCCAGATTGAGTTCGGCTCCAAGGGCTTTAAACAGCTTAGCTAGTAACAAGTGCATCGCTAAAAAGAAACAAGTGCATTCCAAACAGCTTAAGTTCAAGAAATAACAAGAGAACCGAAGCGCTCTACAGGAGCCTTGATCACTTCGCCAGGCTCGCGCCAGGCTCGGACTGTGACACTTGGCGACCGTTTCGATCGAACCCTTTCGCCCGACCTTCACGCTGTCGTAGGTCTTGGTTTCGCGCGGACCAATGTCTCGATACCAAACGGTCTTGAAATAGCGATCAATCCTGGCGTCGCCCGAAGCAGCGAGGTGTGACACGGCATGATTACGGACAGCTTCGCTCAAGATGTCAAGTCTGTGTCAAGGGTGTTTTGATCAAAAGGTGATCCAGGGAAGGTATGTTCTCTTGCCTTAGGGTTGGAAGGATGCTCTCACTAAAAACCACCGTGACGTGCATGAAATGACACAGACTTTTCATCGCCAAAATCTACTCTAAGTAACAAAAGGGCATCGCGGCATCGCTGCTAGGAGCAAGGACGCTACTAGGGGCTCCTGGCCTTACTACTAGGAGCAAATAGCTACTAGTAGCAAAGGGCATCGCTACTAGGAGCAAGAAGCTACCGTATCACCAAAATCAACTGTATCATTTCTTCCATCTTGCTCCAGAAACTCACTCACCAGGGCTTGACTCGTTCATGCACAGTCGCTCGTTCCGGCGGTCCTGTCTAAGAGAGCACCATTGCCCGTGGGCGTGTACTTGTACCTAGGCATGCGCTCATAAGAACCGCTGGTATCTGCCATGTGAGCTGATGAGTCTCTGTGAGGTTGTCGCATGTAGCTTACATTGAATCATGAAAGTGAATTCTGTGTTGAGTTAGTTGAGATGTTAAATGCTTATATTTTGATTGATGAATCAAACATGAAAATGGATTCAAAAAAAACAATCAAACATGAAATTCACAAGCGCTATAGGTGCGGAATCACATGATTCATCTAACTAAAACCTCAGGATATAGAGATCTGTCAACCGGACCCACCAAGCACGGCCAAACGACAAACCCGTGTGAGTGGCAGTCGGCCATCGCTCCCGGTCCACCAAGGCACTTGGGCGCGGAGTCCACGGTGAGCACATGTGTGGGACAAGGGATCTGCGAAAGCTCCTGAAGAAAAACCCGGCCATCTCGTTCCACCAAAGGATTTGGTTTTGGCTTCGGCATTTGACCTTTGAGAAATCGGGCTCTGGATTCGCTGCCGGTGTGACTGTTGTGATTGCTCCTGGAAGGGATAACACACGCAGTAGTTGGTGTTCTTGTGCCTGGCGCAGAGACGCGGCGGCGAGCGGCAGTTGGTTCGGTTTGGATTGTTCTCTCCCTCCGCAAGGTTGGAGCAACAGATCTCCACCGAGAGCCCCCACACCATACTTTCGGTCTCCGTTTCGGTCGCCTGATGATGTACTGTGGATAGGCTCGACCGTTCTGAGCACTTCTGGCCAGCTGCATTTCCCAGTTGCAATCTCCGTAGAGGCACTCCTGGGCTTTCGCAAGGCCCGCAAGGCCCGCCAGGCCCCGCCAAGGCGCGGGTGCGGTTCCTTCTGCGACCCTTTCCAGCTCCACGTCGACACCCCACGGAACACCGCTGCTAGAGGCTAACCCACCCAGCCAGCTCCAGAACCTGGCACCTCCCCACCCTGAGGTCACCCACACCAACACACCACACCACCGCACCGCCGGTCGCCGAGGCACGTTGTTGAAGCCGCTCCGCAGGCCGCCGGACGCGAAGGTGTTGATCCAGCCGATCTTCGCCGCGCGTTCGTCCGTGATGTACTCCACCCTGGAGTCGGTGCCTTGTTCTACCTCT